GCTGCGGGTGCCACCGAATGTCGACGCCCCACACTATCACTGAACTGACCACAGATTTCGCACTCACCAAAGCCCGTAATACTTGTCCGACCGACGCGGCCGTGACCACCATCAAAAACGCTTCCAGAATCTGTGTCGTCGTCCAGATGTCGTTCATGCTCTCCGCCTTTTGACTCGGTGAGGGTTGAAGCTGAACTGCTGGACTGTGTCCTCGTCCTTTTCAGTAGATCAGCAAGGCCGGAGACAAGAAAGTTGTCTGGCAGCTTCTTCACGCCACCAATTGGCAGAGTGGTGCGTTTACGGCAGAGTGGGCAGGTGAAGTGATGGTAATCAGTTACCTTGTTGTAGGTCACTTCTGCAGAAATGTGATTCTCAATGCAAGTCTGGCAAAAGGTGTGAAGGCAAGCGAGGGATTTAGGACTCTTGAAGTTATCCAGACAGATTTTACAAATGAGGAATTCGTCATGTATTTCGCGTGCTATTTCACCCGAAAGACCGTCAAGGAAAAGGGGATCAGTCCGCATGGTGGAGGATGTGGCGGCAGCTTTAGATGAAGGAGAAACTGGCGAGGCAGGTTCCTCCTTTGCGTTAGTTGTCGCACTCGGGCTACTAGCCGAGACAAAATCCGATTTCGGGGGACCTTAAATAAAAAACACCAAAAATATTATAAGCGCATATGTGAAAGTCGGATGGTTCTTGAGTAGATTCTTCTGCCGATAAAAGTAAATGAAACACTCCAAAGTCAAAAGTTTTCTACCCCCGCCAGAAGATCATTAAGATAATTTAGGATTAAGGAATATAACTTAAAAACTTAAAGCATGACTGAGGCGATTTAATTTTGTTCAAAATAGTTGTGTCCGCAAGAAATTGTTAGTATGAGACTGTCTGATCACTAGGAGTAATGCAGAGTTCCACTACGTGACTTGCGCGCGATTTGGCTTTCTAATTCCCATTTCTGGCACGTTTAAACCACCATTATACTCTATAATAATATACCCTTCTAGTTAAAACTATAGAAGATGCTACTTTATAAATACTATGTTTTTTACCGAAGGCACCGAGCATGATGTTTGATAGCCAGTTCTCTATTCACGTCTGTATGAAGCGGCCATGAGATTCTCAAATAGATATTATCAAAATGAAAGAAGAAATAGTAAATGTGTGCTTTCTTAACCCAATATTTACAATTTTCGGGATATTACTCTTTATAATCTTCATGATTAGAACCTTAACAAACGGAATTTTTATTTATAAAACGCCTATTACAAATAAGAGTGATCAAACACGAATATATGGAACCCTGTCCTTAACTGTTACTTTTGGCGTCCAAGCCGTGTTTGAACTCGGAGCACTACAGTTATCCGGCCAAATCCGAAGCAGTAGGTAAAATGCAGAAGGCAACAAAAGGAGAAACTTATTGTGCACAGAGCCCTTAATTGCTCTCTCAAGTAGCGGTGGCCACTGAGAAGCCATTGTTGGTGTTGGCTGTATCCAGTCGTGTGCGAGAGTGTGAGACATTAGTGGCAGCTGTTTTTATATGATTGTGGAGCAAGTACAAATAGTGTCCAGTTTGTGTTCGAGTACCCGAGGGGGCGTTGTTTATATTAGCCATTGCTTTGCTAGCCGGACTTAGCTGTTCAAATGGCCCTTAGGCAGTTGCGACCATCTGGATGCACGTCTGTGTGCGAGTGGAAGTTGGTCAAGTATATGCAGTTGGCAAATTGGAAAGAGCTTCCTGCGAAGTTGCCCGAAGTTGAGGCAGTGGGCACTGAACAAGGATACCGGGCAGCATTGTTGACTGTCCGCCACAAACTGCATCATTAAGCCTAAACTTAACGCTAACCTTAATGAGCCTAACTCCGATACTTATTTGAACTCTAAGTCTAATCCTAACCCTTCTAAGACTACAAATACCGCGTTGAAATTCAGCGAATCTCACCTGTCGTATGGGTTTCCTTTCTTCCATGCGTAACCTAAATAATAGGTCCGTTTGTATTTTCTAGGACATCGAATGGCATATGTACAAGTTTCGAATTTCGATGAAATCTTCGGACCACATATGCAGTGAATTCTCTGCTGATAGGATTTCCGCTGACAGTTACAAAGAAGTTCCCCTAAAACCAGCATCATGCCATTTAGTTGATATATTTTGCTAACGTGTTACGTTAAGATGCATTGCAACCACTTACTCAGTCCCTTCTATTCGAGATTATTATTAAAACTTCCGGTGCACGCCTCACGAGTTTTTCAGCTCAACCAATTCTGGATATAATTGCTATAATTGGGGTTAGGAACCAGTACTAGGTACTATTTATGGAATTTAGCGCAGGGTCACCTGTATTACGAGAGTCGTGCCTATTCTTTTATCTTACTGCGCTGTACAACGATCTTACCAGACTGCAAGACGGAAATTAAAATGATTGCTGCCCTTTGGGTTTTAGTTTCAGCGGCCTATGGATGCAGCCGCATAGCGGCGGCAAATGTAGACATCTTGGAAGGGGTATTCCTGATTTTTTTGGCAATATTCACTAGAAATTACTATCCTAGTCTTCTTTCCTTGGTGTGTAAAGTTTTTGCAATTTTATGCCGAATAACCTGTCAAAGGCCATGTTTTAAACTAACTGATCAATTTGAGTGCTCTGTTCAACAGAAACGAATCGAAGTTTTAACTAGAGCCTGTGTTAAATTAAAACGGTAACCAGGCCATTCATTAGGGAAATTTTGAGCCTTAAGTGATTTAGTCCTCAAATGAACTCTGTAGTGATCACTTTGAATGAGCGTTGCGTCATCTGACTTTAAGAAAACACACAAACTTATTAAAAAAATTGAAGTATATTTTCTTACATTTTCAAAATTTGGCAACTGTTGGCATGCTCACTTGTCTGCTTATTAGCCGTGCTGACAATATATTTATAGAAGGAAGTATATGCAGTTACGGACTGTGTGAATGAACGGAATCTGCTTTTATTTGGTTCTTTTTGATCTGAGGTGCATCTTCTCGTAAACGATTTTTCTCCTTTGAGTGTCACTACATTCGCATGAGGACCGTGTATGGCCTTTTCCTATAAATAATAATCCCT